GGGGTTATGGTGGGCCCACTTTTTTTTTTGCAGGGTGCCAACCAGCAGCTCACTGGTGGACTGGTGGCTGGGCGGTTGCCGACCACTTGAGGAGTGCCGACTGTCCATGTGACTACAATGGAAAAAGTGTCAAAAAAGGAAAAGGCACATAGCAAAACTGACAAGGCAGCAAAAAATAGCGGTGTAGTGAATGCAAACTGCTCTTGCTTCTACATTTTGTGGGGGGTGCTACATTTCTCCAAATGTTTAGGAGAAGCTGGCACAGGTGGGTTTGCAAACGCTCTCTCCGGGGTACTTGTGGTTTAACAACCAGTAATGGCTGATCATGAAGCATCCGAAATGCGTTCGTGCAGGCCACAAGATGTCGAATTCAATTCTGTGGTCCTGACGACTTTTTTCAATGATAAGCAATGGACTCGTCCCAGAGTGAGGAGTGAACAACCAGTATTGGCTGATGATGACGCATCCGTGCAGGCCAAGATGTCAAATTCAATTCTGTGGTCCCGATGACTTTTGCTATCATGTACTGTGTGTTGCCTGGCATTTAGAATGAATATATGTCTTCAATGTGTCCCAATGTGTAGGGGTTAATTCGAGAATATGTACTCATCCTTTGACGACCTGCATGCTTCCTGGCACGCTGCATTGCTGCATTGTCTTATGCTTGTCTGTTTGGTGTGTGTGTGTGTGTGTGTGTGTGTGTGTGACCAGCTGCTAAAGCGCAATGCCAGGAAGAATGGAGCATTTCAGAAACTATTTTCAGTCACAGAGAATGACTTTGTGATCAATGACTTCTCATGTAGTGTGAAGCGTCCAATTCCTCTGCAGGTCAGGGCTTTGTATTTCATGTTTCTGGATTAGGCACAGTGGCTTAATGAAATGTGTGATGCAGTTGATCCTGGATCTTTCATCTCTTTTTGGGTGTTGTCTTCTCCTCTTCTTCTTTGCAAAGAACCAGTAAGTGAGAACACTAAATTTTCGAGATGCAAGAACTCATTGAAGACCAGGCATAAGTAAGCCGAGTTGAAAGGAGAATGGCAAAGCCGAGCGCACACCAACCCAAGAACACACTGAACACTGAAGTCTCTTGACAAGGAAAGCCCTCTTCGCGTCTCCAACAATCAATACAACAGAGTAGTAGCCCTTGGTATGATGTGTCTACCTCCACTACTCCTACTCGCCTAAACACTCTAGGCTACTACCTATCAGTCTTTCTTCACTCTCCTCCTGCCAGATTCTGATCACAGAGGCGCTCCTCGGCCAGCACCAGGTAATTATTCACCAGTCCTAACTGCTGCTCTCCTCTCCCGACCTTCGCCAGCACCCACCACCTCATCCCTGCTCCGCGTCAGCTTTCAGCTATAGTGCATGTGGAACGCAGCGTGGCACAGGCACTTGCTACAGCTCTCTGCCAGCAGTCACGCATGATACTGTCCCCTGCCCAATGTGCATATGGGCCGACCTCTTCTCCCTCTGTTCTGTTCAGGATGGGGTCTGGACCCTCCAGCAGGCAGGCCCTACAAGTCTGGGTCCCAACCCAGGTACCAGCCTTGCTGGTATCCCAACAGGATGCACCGTACCTGGGCTGGGCTCTATTCAAAGGCCAATAGTTTCTCAGGCACGGCCTTCACTTAGGGCCCGTGATAAGCAACCGGACTGCCGCTCCCCAGAGTAGATGGGGCAAGAGTGAGTTTTGTGTTTAGAAAAAAACATAAACTGTCATCAGCGAGCCTAGGGAGAATTGAGCCAAGCGATAATCGAGCCAAGGCAAAGCAATATGAAAGGATTTCACACTGTCAGTCCAAATCCCAGTCCCAGAGTACCAAGTGGTCCCCGTCCCAGGCTGGCCGAGTAGGTCGAGTCCTAGGGTTTGTAGGTGGAAACGTCGTAGGTCGGAAGAAAGCGTCGCGTGTAGGTTGAAGTCCGCAACCGCCAGAGGAAGTGGAACTCCCAAAGTCCAATTTTGCAGCAGTGTCCCAAGAAAGTCCAGAGACTTCCAGAACATAAAAAATGTGGCAGGGGCGCGGCACCGGTCCGGAGCGGTCAATTCAGTCAACTACAGCTATTTATAGCTGCTACAGTACCAAGGCCAACAGATTCACAAGGTTGTGGAAGCGCTGCTGGCTGCTTGTGCGATTGCGTGGCCTGCACAAAGGGAGGTGCTGGGGGAGAAGCAAGTGCCCTGACAAAGAGTAGTCAACCGTAGCCAGGCATAGGGGGAGGAAGACGACGGCCATAGCCGCAGAGGTTCGGAGTGACACACCACAGTTGTATTCAGGATAGATTCAAGTAGGGAGAGGGAGAGCAAGATATCAGCAGAGAGGCTTGCACGATACAAGACTTGAGATAGAAAGAAGAGAGAGAACAGACAAACAGGGTGAGGGAGAGAGAGTCACACATCGGGGTAGGGGGAGTAAGGTATTTACCTGCGTAGGGTCGCAGTCGTCAGGTCGCAGCCAAGGCCGCTGGATGAACTCTCCAATTGTATAATATCATATTTTTTAGTGGAAATTCACCTGACGCCAGTGTTGGACCCGCCGACGGTCGGCAGCCCTTGACTGGTCGGCTGCCGACCCGGCGACCGATCGGCTGGTCGGCTGCCGACCCGGCGACCGATCGGCTGGTCGGCACCTACTGGTCGGGGGTCATCGGCACCTCGCAAAAAAAAGAAAAAGAAAAAAGGGGGGGGTCCAGAACCCCTAATAACACCACCATACCCCCATAGCGCCCCCCCAATACCCCCATACACCCTCCCAACACCCCCAATCCGCCCCCAACTCCCTTATTACCCCCTCCAATACCCCGTATATC